ATTTAAAGTGTACGGCTCATCTGTAAAAAAAGGCACGTAACACCAATAAAGGAGAATAATATATATATATATATATATATATATATAAGGCAATAAGAAATATATGCACAAATGTAAAAACAGAAGAAGACTTGTAAGGACAATATAAAATAAAAGATTAAAAAACTAAAGCCCGTAGAAAACAGTGTGTCTTTCCACCTGACTGAAATGCAGCGTTGTGACATTGTCAACTAAATAGCTTAACGTTGTCACCAAAACAGATGAGTACAGCAGCACGTTTTGACACCTCATGAATCGTAAACACAAAAAAAGATGTTTTTAATGATAAATGCATCATGTAACTGTAGTTCTTCACATTTTTGTTGTAATTAATATTCTTACCTAACACCTGGCATTGACAAAAAATGTCCCTCATCTTTTCTCTGCGAGGGTTTTAGAAAAAGACACACTATTGGTTTAACCTTTTTCCACAAATGATATTGATATCTTTATTGAAGTCACCTTTTAGATCAATAATGCTCTTTATTTATTAACACCGTGTGTCCATATTAAGAAATGGGAGGATTTCTCTTTGATATCATTGTAAATTGTAAAGATCACAATTTATAATTATTTATACTTCCTAGAATAAACAATTGATCAATAAAAGAATAGATTCATTCTGATGTATTTGTTTAGGATGTGTAAAGGCACTGTACCGTATGTATTTTCAGATCATATTTACTTCAATCACAAATACATTTAGCATACAGATGTATGACGGGATGTGAAATCAACAGAAACAGATTTAAACACAATAAAAAGGCTTCACTGCATTTGAATACAGGAATACTGTTTTTAAGGTTGCTCTTTATATAATTGCAGCGTTAATTCTGTCCCATTTCTGGTCAAATGGTCAGAGCTGCTTCCTGTTCTGCTGATCTCACAGCGTGTGGCGGTGAGATTACACACCACTCTGCCTGAACACTGACACCATCCACCGAGCAGAGACTGTGTGTACCATGTGCATTACATTCTCCCAAAATTAGAGGAGGCAAATGCCGCTTGTCTTTGATAAAGACTGTACGGCAGCAGCAGCAGCTCTCTAAATTAGGATTAGTCTTTGCAAACAGATGTTCCTCTTGCCTGCAGTCTTAAAAACCCACTCCCCCCTGCACACAGCCAAAGATTAGCATTAACCTGGCTTAATGAACTTTACACTCTGTTGCAGGCCTGCAGGGATAATACAACAAGTCTATTGTTTATGTAATGTTTCCTCTTATTTTTAACCAGCACCTTTTCTCCAAAAAAGAAAACAAAAGCAGACAGATAGTGTGGTTACTGTGTGGAGATAACCCACTTAGGCTCGGGCGGATGTTGAATTACATTGTTTGCCTTTTTACAGTGTGCGTGTCTGTGTGCGTTTTATTATGTCTGTGTGTGCACCAGACACTGGTCAGGATGGCTCTCCTTGTTAAGTCTTATAATAGCAGTGGCCAGGATGAGAGGAATAAAGCGTAACATTGCCTATTGACCTGCTGATTAAGCAGTAGCCATTATTGCTTGAACTAATCGTAGTACCTGATGGCTCCTCCAGGCAGACTGAGAGAGAGGGAACAGAGCGACAGCATGAAGCACTGCAGCTGATTAATGTGTGTGTGTATGTGTGTGTGTGTGTGTGTGTGTGTGTGTGTGTGTGTGTGTGTGTGTGTGTGTGTGTGTGTGTGCTCCTTGTCCTTTCTTTGTAAAAGCACCAGGCATTTGTTTGACCTTACCTTATCTGTGAACTACATTATCACACTCTGTAGTGGACAGTGCAGGCCATTGAGGCGTGTTGCCATTGATCTTATTCCATTTTCTTTTGAAGTGAAAAGACTCCAATACAGTCATCATATCAGGGTCTAGCAGACACTTATTGTGCTGTGAACTCGCCACACATCAAGCACCCGATCTGTTTGCTAAAACTAAATGGCAAAAAAAAGATTAGCCCATTACTGATCAAGATAATCAATTCTCAGTCTTTGCTATTTGCCTCACATTTGTCCGTTAGGAACAGCTGGCCCTGGCTCTGTCCAGAAGTTAAAGGGAACCTATCATGCTCATTTTCCGCTCTTTATTCTTAGGCTGAGACTCCACTAGAGTAACCTTGCATGATGTATTATAACATTATGCATCTTATAGTGGGCCTTCATGCAGCCCCTTAGTTCATCCTCTGTCTTAAACAAGTCGTTTCTTTACCCCCGGGGCAGTGTTGGTGGTTAATGTTGCAGCTCTAGACTGAGCTTTGGACCACCGGTGGCTTGAGCTCCCAGTCCGTTAGCAGCAGTTACCGGCTGGCTAGAAAAGGAAGGACGAAAAAACGGAAAACATGTAACCGAAAAAGCCCTTTCTGCATATAAGTAAAAGTATTTCTACATATTTGGCTAGTCACGTAAAGTCAAAAAAGGTGTTAGAAAAGAGTCTGTATTATATATATATATATATATATATATATACACATATATATGTATGGCTGCACTAGGCCAAGGGATGGTCCGGCACATGAACCCCTGTAAAAAAAAAATTACATTTTGGTTTTTATATGAATTAAACCAACAAGATGTAGCATGTTAATTTGTGAGCTTTAGAGATGCGGGTTGGCAGATTGTGTTACCTCTCAGAGCCAGGCTTGCTGTTTCCCCCTGTGTACAGTATTTGTGCTTAAACCAATCATACTTTTAATGTTTCTACACTAAATATGAAGCTACTGTCTCCTGACATGAAAGTGTTATCCATCTAACATTTAACTCTGAATGTCACCGTATTTCTAAAACAATGTCCTATTTTATGAGATCGCATCATAAAATATACAAGGTAAACGGTCTTTTGACTTTCCATAATGTTGGCAATAGTTTTTTTAACCTTGCAAGATCACAAAATCACGAGATTTGGACCATCTGGCACAGTCAGGTTAATAGTTTTTGGGGTCATCTGCCAAATGTTGTTCATCCTTGTGGAATTTAAAATGAAGCTATAACCATGATGAAGTGAATAGGAGATGTTAACATTGAGTCTTACGGTTTTATATATTCTCCCAAGTGAAACACATTATACCTGCATATTTGATAGAGAAGAAGAATTCATCACACAAGCGATGTGAAATCATTCACCGCACATTATATCTGAGTCGGCACAGTTGCTGGCACTATGCTACCTTCTGCCTTTGTGGCCTGAGGTGTTTTGGATGAAATCCATTTCAGAATCAACATCCAAGAAATTAGCTTCTGAATGCGCAGGACTGCACCGGGCCTGTGATACAGTCCAAGCAGCTTTTCTCATTAGTCATGTTTGCTGTATTGTTTATGAGAACAATCTGAGGTCGCTTGTAATTGACTGCACATATTGCCGAATGCTTTTACCCCGCATTTCCAGCCTGTAAGCACCTTACACCGCTTCAGGCAACTATTGAATTAATGCAGACAGAAAGTGGAAGGTGATGTTCTCTTTCCTCCCATCTTTGTTCATTCCTTTCCGATATAATTTCCCTTGCTGAGTCTCCAAACTCGAGAGCTCCTCGGGGCCTGCTGCTGAGCACGCTAATGGATATCTACTGTCCCTGAGCCGCACTGTGTCGACAGGATTTTGCCTCATTGAATATTGTGTTAGGTAAATCCTCATTAAGAGTGACTGTCCTCCATGACACTGAGAGAAAAGACTGGAGAGGAGAGAAAAGAAGAGGAGGAGGCAATAACAATAGAACCAATTTGAGCTACACTGTGCTACATGGGCACTGTGCATTCACGGGAAACAGCGTTTTCTGTACTAAATTAAGCAACAAGGAGGGTAACAGCAAAATCTGTAGCATTAACAGTGCAGTCATTATTATCTATTATAAAGATGTCACGAAATAGTGAAAAAATGCTTGTTACAGCACCCAACGTCTTATCTTCACATTGCTTGGGTCAACAATTCAAAGCCCAGTTGTCCAGTTCATAATGATATTAAATACATCGATGCAGATGATCCTTAACAATTGAAAAGCTAGAACCAACCAGACAAAAATGGTGCCAACTACTCCAACTAGTAATGTAGTAGATATAATGGTACCACCTTTTAATGGGACACCCTTTCTAAAGACGGTTATTAGTTGTAACTAATAGCCTTTTTCATAGTTAATAACTCATCTCTTATTATATATTATTGGTTATAAGCCATTAATAAGAATTACTTTCAGGTTGCCAGCTGCTGTTCCTCCTTCCTCGTAAATAAGTTAATTACTTACTTGGTGGAAAAACCTGCATAATTAATAATTGGGAAAAAATCAATTTATTACCAGATTTGTTATCCATTAATTTATTTTTTATCCATTAATTAGGCAGTTAGTTGCCTATAAACAATGTATAAGGGGTGCCTTATGGAAAAGTGGTACCAAATATAATAATATAGGAGATAGATGTGGCAGATCTCAAAAATAATCCTGTTCTAGATGGACTGATAAACTAAATTCTCTGTTCAGTTCAGCTTCATTCATCCTTATGTGGACAAACAGCACATTACACAGAAATTAAGCAACAAACATTGGGAACACAAAGGAAATGATGGTGGTCAGCAGGGTTCCAGCCGTGCTGCTTAAGTATGTCATTTGTGAAGGGTAAAACATTTCCTGAGAGTACTGGTGATAGGTCAGCCAAGTGTGCCTCCTCCCCATATCTCACCATGACCCAGCTACAGTTTGGCTGGTGTGGCCCACAGAGCTGCACAGGCCCTCTGTGTCTGAAGCTGTAGTGCTTCCTGAGCTCACACCAGCTCCCCTACAGGGCTTCTGTGACATTAAATCCAATTATAGATTTCTTTAAATGCCATTTTATCCAGCAGGGGACTGTGGCCTTTGCAGCAAGGAACGTGACCACTGTTCTTCCTCCTCTTTTTTGGTCTTCCCTGTGGCACTTTGTCCTGCTGTGATACAACAATGCTGGATGTGTACTTACTTGCCCTGATGTAGCACTGTTGTTTTTCTTTGTCCTCCTCCGTGCTGACCCCAGGATACACCCCAGCCCGACCGCTGGCTCCATCACAGCAGCCTCCTCAGTGAGCACCATTCAGGGCAAACCATCACTCCGCCGCATCAAGGGCCGCATTCACAGGAGCAAGAGTCTGGACAGCATCGATCTCCTTGACTCCAATGTAAGTAAACTGACTCAAAGGCAAACACAATGCATTAATGAGTTGTATCAGCAAACACACACTGTAATGAAAGACCAAAATGTACAAAACCAACACATCAGCAACCTGACATTAGAAAGATCTGGTTATGAATGAAAGGCCATAGTACTGATAGATTTGAGTCCTACTGGAATTCTGCAGCTGTTGTGCAGTAATGAATAATTAATAATTCTGCAGGACTATTTTTTACTCTCTGTATGTGATTAGAGCGTGACTGAAAGAAAATTAAAATGAAAGAAAATGTATCTAATCATACAGAAAATCATACACATACAAAATATTGCACAAAGCACATAACGGCAAAAACATAAAATCAGTGAGATAAACAGCACACAATGACAAAATATTATCATTAAATATCACTTAAAGAAGAGATGCAGCATATATGGGATTGTCACCAGGGACCCGTTGCACAAAAGTGATTTGCAAGCGCTGCTTGCACACAGATGGCAAGTGTTGGCTGAGTCACTTTTCACAATTGATCGTCTCTCACAATTTGAAGATAATCTAGAAAGTCCTACGGGGCTCATGCATGAGCTGCAAGCGTGGGGTTTTTTGCTTTGATTAGTGAAATGTATCTAAATGACAGGAATAGGAAAATAATGTTGCAAATTCTGTGAAACAAATCCCAGATTCACATTTACCATTTAGAGGTAATGATGGCAAAGGATTAATTTGTTGTCAGCATTATTGAAGCAGACCTGGAATTGTTTTCTTGCACCAGAAATATTATCTACATTAGGATTATAGGAACTGGGTATCTGCAGTTAAAGGAATTTTTCAATATTCTGGAAAATATGATTGTTTTTCTCAGTCTGTCCACTGAAAATGAAGCAATAGTCAGCAGTTTGTAAGTTACCAAAAAGACTGGAAACGGGGAAACAGGCAGTGTAAAAACAACATGTGGTTTTACACATTTATTTTTGTACAGAACAAATGAGATATAATGTGTAAATTGTTTAACTTTAGAGGTGGCTGAAGGCAGATTTTGTCACCTTTGATATGGCTTCATATCAGAAACGTGAAGTGGTATTAATGTTCTCATAAAGCTCAGCAACAATGTGAGCAAGTGTATTTCCCAAGATATCAAACCGTTCCTTTAATGTGAGACACAAAGGTGTTTACTTACTCACTGCAGAATTTGTGATTTAATCTGTTTTGATTTTGACTACCCAGCCATATAATCTTATAATCCGTTCTTAGATGAAAAAAGATTTTAAAAAAACGTAAAAGAGACTAATGAACTTTTGCATTCATCAGCAGCCATGAATAACAACTGCCATTTCTACACTTGTGAATGTATTAAATAATAACTGTTCAGATTCGAGATTCATTATTTTATGCATATTTCATTCATAGACACACACACACACACACACACACACACACACACACACACACACACACACACACACACACACACACACACATATATATTTCATCCATATTCACATTCAGAAAATGAAATATCTTTGGTTGAGTGTTTTTCGATACAAAAGGAATATTAATTCACAAAGTTGTGTTTTAAATTTAGAGGTCTAATGTGCATAAATCAAAGCAGACACTATCGAAACACACACATGTACTTTGTTGTTTCCAGACAGAGCAGTAGACTGCTGGAGGGCCTCCGCCTCAGGGGAATTATATTGTGTTGACAGCTCAGCTATGACCTGACTGTGAATTCAGCTTAAACGCACCATCTCATTACAGGATATCACAAAACCATAGAGCAGGTTGAAATATAGATATGTAGATAAGTATTGGTCAGTAAATGTAGCATAGGCTTTTGTAAGAGCATAGCTGCCTCTAAGATACATATCACATTTATTGTTACCCCCTGTGTTAGTACTCAAATCTCAGTTTAGTGGTGCTGTGTCAATTAGGATGCATCCTCTATGCACCACGGATATCTCTACCAATTTGTGTGCCAGTCTGTTCAGTAGATGTTGGGATATTTCACTAAATAAGTGAAAAGCTGGACCTGCTGGTGTCACTGGAAGAAATCTACTATTTGTTGAAATACAGTATTTCACAGAAAGGAAAAAACATCAACCTGTTGGTGGTGATAGATAAAAAGTCCTTATTAAAGGATTCATCTTCTGGATTATTGAGTGTGTACAAAGTTTCATGGCAATCCATCCAACAGCAGCTGAAATATTTCTGTCTGATCCAAAGTGGTGAACTGACATGCAAGTAGCATGGCTAAAAGCAATTTGATAAAAGGTATCAGTCATTTAACCTGACTGCGCAGGTGGTTTGTTACACAGAACCATATTGGGAAGTCGTTGTTGGAAACTGTCTGGACAAAGACTCGGCAGGTGATTGGATGAACCATCTATCACCGCCTATCGCGGCTGAACTTCAACCAGTCAGATGAACAGCTATATAACGTAGTCAAACTCTTACTGACGCCAGTGAAGAGTGAAAACTCTCTCTCATCTAAAAATGCATTCAGTGCAATTCTTTGCTCTTCTTTCAATAAAGAAAAACTTCAGTTCAACTGATGCTAGCAGCATCTATGATAACCTCTGTGGGAGCTTCTCATACTGGCCACAAACGCATAGTTTGAAGCCTGGGAAGATGGATTCTTGCATGATTTTGTGATCTCGCGAGCTGCCTTCCAAGGTTATCATTCATTTTCTCTGTCAAAAAATGTCATGTTTGATTGAACAATAGACCTATATTTAAAAAGTAATTACAAAATCATCATTCAGTTCCCATTTAGTAAACCTGACTGAAATGTTGGATGTGGATGCTTTTAGGCTGTGATTGACAGATTAGTGGTGGCCTTGATTTTGAGCCATACAAAACAAACATAAGCCTTCATCTGAATGGAAAAAGGCAGAGTAGTGTCACTGTATCCTCATATCCTGCCCTGCTCTGTAAGTCATATAGAGAGTGACTTACCACATCACTGTCATTTGTCTTTATGGCCTGCCACTCGGAGGACGCTTCAAACTGCTCTAGAGGCCACTATCTCACCAGAGACTGAGAGCTCAGCTAAGGGCTCCTGGCCTTTCCCCGGTATATTTCTTTTGTACGGGCTGTGTGTGCACTAGAGGAAAACTTGCTGACTTTGCCCAAACTCAAATGCAGCTGATGGAAGTAACGGTCCGCCTTACAGTGAGTGATGAGACTGCAGGATGCTGAGCAGAGGAGCAGTTTCCATTGCATCCTACTAAAATGTCACAACAGACACAACACTGCCTCTGAGCCGTTGGATGATCTGCAGTCGTTAATAAAAATCTCGCCTGATTGGCTGTTTCAACAAAAAACTGAAGATATTAATCAACTGAGTGTATGAATTTAGGTCCATAACTATCATTGCCCATCAGCGTAGAGCTTAATAATCAATAGTAGTTAAGACTTTGTTTATATCGATTGCTGCTTTTGATTGCTTTTCTCTCTTGATAGTCAGGGGAGGACTCTGGCCTCTGGCCCACACCCGCTGTCATTTGTGTTGGCAAGCAGCACACTTGTTCACAGAAAGCTTGAATCAGATTTTAGTGCTAAGGCTGCAGAAAGCACAACAGAGTTGGAGAGGGGGGGAACTACAGTCTTCTATGCACCCGATGCCTTTGTGTATATAGCAGGAGTTATTTTTCTGAGCTCATCAACAACACCTTGTCCCATTTCAAAGCAGCAGCGTTTACAGTATTTCTTAGTGCTTCAGGGAGATGCATCAGTCCATCTGTTCTAGCATTACACAAAATCTTATTCTCTTTATTATTTACACCGCTAATCTGTGTCCAGCCACTTAATGACTTGTATTTGTTGCTCTATAAAAGACAGCCTCAGGATTTATGATAATAAATAGTAAACTGTCACCTTTTCCAGGGTATATGCCATCTTCGCTGTGTGTCTCTTTGTATGGATCAATGTTGATTCTGAATGTGCAGCTTATTCTTTTGTGCGTTATATTTCATCATGACAAAGGGAAAAACATCTTTTACAGGCACGAAACCTACTGTGCATCCCTGGTTCAGTTTGGATGCTAAACTGAGGCTGCTGTTTCTGTTTCATGTGTCTTGATTTTAGGAAAGATTTGTTTTTAATGCAGTATTTTTCCTGCCCTCTCAGCTGTTTGGAAAATGTGAAAGGAATGTTTGCTGCAGAGGCTATAACCAGGTGAGTTGCAGAGAAACTAAGAGTGTATCAGCAGGAGCAGATGCTACTAAGCCGAGATGAAAAGCGCAATTAAATTAATTACTCCTTAACAGATCAGGATCAGTCACCAACTGGGCCTTGAGCTTTGCCTTGGTCAAAGTCTTAATCTCTTATTAGTTCTGCTTGCCCCGTCCAGCTTCTAAAATCCCATCCTTGGCTGCAGTCTGCCGTGGACAGAGGCACTCCCCCCTAACCAGCACCAAAAAAAGCCCCAGCGTAAGCATTTATTCTCTGCTCAGTCTTCGGAAAGTGCTGCAGATGCATTTACGTAGAGAGCAACTGCAGCTGAATTAACCAATCTGCATATTCAGGGCCTGTTAGAGGGAGATTGTTCCCGTGTGATGAAGGCTTGGAGGTGCACAAGGGTGGAAGCAGAGGGCTGGACCTGAGTGAGACACACCACAACGGCTGTGGAAAGAGACGGGGGAGGGTGGAGGAGAGCGTGGCGGGTGGGCGCAGGAGATTTATCACGACTAACACTGTAGGAGGCCTTATTGGAAGGAGGAGAAGGGGGGACGATGGGAGGCAACGTGATTGGGGCAGCAACTGATTTTCTCTAGGTGAGACAGGTCTATTATGTAAGACAGAGTCAAATGGATGAATTTTTCTTTGTCCTTTGGTTAAGCACTGGGGGATGGTTGGAGGTGATGAAGGGGGTTTGTATGTGACACTAAGGAGGAGCTGGCCATGTATGGTGTGTGTGAAGGTTGCATGTGTGGTCCCACAGGCTGAGGCGATGGCAGATGTTTGGTGTCTTTCTCGAGGCTGTGACTCAGGAGCAAGGTCTGCCTATG